GGCTGCACTAGTGACATCCTGGCCAAAAAGTACCAAAACTCAGCAGTGCTCTTTTTATCCTTAACAAGAAATGTTATACGTTGCAAAGGTAAAACTAAGCCTGATAATCTAAACTACTCCTTCTTTAGCTTACTAGAAAAACTTATGTGAAATCCACAATTAACCAACATTATGATGGGAAGTGGAGGTCAATATTTATGGGCCCAGCTGAAAACTACCATGAAATATGGAAGATTTAACATGGAATGTAAGAAAAATTATACTTTAGTGAATAGTGATAATCGGGAAAGAAAAAATATTTTTTATTATTATGAAACATTCTGGAAAAAATGTAATTCAGGGAAAAAATATATTCTGTTAAGTGGCATGAATAGAGGGGTGGGAATGAGATAATGAGAATGTTAATTGTTTAATATGTTTCTGCTTAGAAAAAGGCCTGTATGTGGCTTAAGCCTAAATCTATTCATATGTTCACATGGGAAAGGAATGAATATCAGTCTAAAGCAAAATTATTCTAAATATCCATGGTGTAAGATTGAGAGAATCTGTGAAAGACCCAAAGCTGATGAGAGGTTCTCAATGTAGGTCAAGTGATTATTTGGGAGTGTCAAGGATGGGCCTTGGGAAAATGGACACAGAAGCAAAGGGAAGAAGTGAAAAAAGTGAGAGTGAAAATAAAACCACTGCAGGAAGAAAAATGCACGTCTCTTATGAAAAATATTAAAATGTAGATCAATTTCCCAACAGAACGAGTGGAAAGTGGACATAAGGGAAGAAGATGTAGGAGTGCTTCAAACAATTTGAAAGGATTATGCTACAGAGTGCCACTGAAGTGTGTGGAATTTTGCTCACAGGCAGTATGATAAAAAAGAAGAGGCTTCAGGTGAAAAAATCATGCATACAAGAGAATAACTGTTCTGTTGGAAGGATGGAAATGGGAGCAAACTGCCTACCATTCCTGAAGATAAACCATCTTTGGTAGGGCTACCATAAATGGGATTCAAACTGGATTACCACTATAGTGCAGCAAAGAGTTAGTGTTGCTCTATGTCTTTTTTGGCATCTAGTGATTATCTGGATTTTTGGAGCCCAGATGAAGTAGCCCTTGTCTTTCATTTTTAGGACATTATTACGTTATGTCTGCATTTCAACAATCTGGAATCAGACAGGATAGCTAGAGGAAGAGGAAGTTTCAATGAATTTGATGCTAATACAAATGATACAAATTTGAGGCCCAGAGATTTATTTTTCTAAAGCTTTTCTTGTTACTACTTATTTTTTAATGAACTTTGTAACCTCCATTGTGTGTTTATCAGGCTGTTACAAGGTGCCTTTAAACTAATATTCCTTCTGAAGATACACAGGAATCCCCAATAAAATTGGATGCTTCTAGAATTAATGAAATTACTAAAATTAGGGAAAGGTACAGAATTCTTTCAAAGTAATCACCTTCTGAAACAGCAAAGAAATACAATAGTTAGCTAATCCTACCTTTTTATAGGATTTTCTAATAGGTAGTACATCTCGCTGCAAGAGGTTCCCCAAAAAAGGCCATGGAGTAGGTCCTGGGGGCAGCTGCCCTTTTTTCTTGTAGATCTGGAAGGATGAGAAAAGGGTGAAAAATATACAGAGAAGCAGCAGAGCTCCTGCCCATGTCAGCTCCATCCTTCTCTGTGTTCTTTTCCTCTTCAAAAATCCCAGAAATTGTTTAAATGAGATAAGACTGAAAGGAGGAGGCCCACTGGAGAACAAATCAAACCTAAGTTCCAGATTTCCCGTAACCTTTGCACGCCTCCTTGTTTACTTTCTGTTCCATTTGTCCTTTCACCTCTATTAGTATAGCAGAGTTACTTATCAAGTTCCATAACTTCTAACTGTGGGCACAAA